TTTTTTTTTTTTTTTTTTTTTTTTCCTTAAAAGATAAGTAACGACTTAATAATTACTAACTTTAAACAATTTTTTAATAATTACTGTTCTTTCAATAATATTTTTCAGAATTTATTTTTGAACAAATTAATTATGTTAAAAATCATGTGTATATATATATTTTTTAAAATAGACATGCTTGAGCGTTGGATCAACGACGGCCACATGAACAATTATTAGCATGTTTGGGAAAAATATTTCTATATTAATAAAATAGACTATATGTTCAAGATAATAACATTGAAATTTGAGAAAACGAGGTATTTTTGAAGAAATAATTCTGAAAAATTGAAACTTAAAACATATGATTAATTTTCAACAATTTTTTCTCTCTAAAAGTTGTTCTACTATGTAAAAGTTGCTTTTTTAATTTTAAAAAAAGTTAAATATCTTAAAATTATTTTTCAATATATTTAGATAAATAAAAATTATTCTTATTATAATCAATTATATATATATATATATAATTAATTACTGTATTATAATAATTTAAAGTTAACTGTTGGGAAGACAAAGCACCATACACAATATGAATAGTAACTTATGAGAGCATAACAATTAAGATGCGTCAAATAGCGATTATTGCAGTAAAAATGGATTGTAGTGTATCTCAAGCAAACATAGAATAATGATGCATACTCCATAGACATCCAATTCATTTTCACATATTCGCAGAGAGAAAGAGATATTATATCTAATTAGTGATATAACGTGATAACAAAGGAAACATATAAAAAGTAAGTGTTTAATGAGGGTTTGTAGTTAAGTAGTGTCCACTATTCAATATTGTTCATCTCATATGTGAGAATATATATATATATATATTACTTCAGAAAAAATAATTCATGATAAAATTATTTTCTTCATTAATTCATAATATTAAATTTTAACTGTCTAACTAAGAGTTTTTAATGAATATATCAAATTTAAAATTTTTTAAAAATTAAAAATTATTTAATATTTTGTTATATTAATTTAAATTAGCATATAATAATTTTTATGAATATTTATTATAAATTCAAATGAATTAGTATAATAAAATATATTTGATCTATTTATTAAAAATTTTAAATTTAATAATTAATAAAATCGTTGAAATTTAATGAAAATTACGAATAATTAGGTAAAATAATTTTAATATCAATATTTATTTTTATAGTAAATCGAACTCTCTCTATATATATTTATATAAAATATGTAGTTAAAGATGTGTGAGATCTCTCTTGCCTTTTTTAATTGGCTTCGATAATAATAATAAATAAATAAATAAATAAAGACCGTGAGATTTTAGGGCTTTTTGTATGTTCGTACGTGCAAAATTGTTTTGGAGATTGAAAATAAGGATTATTAAATGTCTTTAATTTCAACTATTGGCGGTAGCGGACGATACCCTCGTTTTTAGGTCAATTCGTGTGTACACGCAAAATTTTTAAAGCACACTATTCTTGAAATGAGAGTTGATAAAAATATATCCATGCCACAAAGTAAATTGTGTTATAAAGTATAAACACATTAAAACTTAAAAGTGAATGTACGTACGTACCCTTACAAGAACGACAATCTTATTTTAATTCGATGAGTTAATATTAATAAATTGATGATGTGTTTTTATTTAAATATATTTTTAATTCCTCGAATATGAGAGAAGTTTGTTTTATTTTAAAAATTTTAAAATTGATATTTTTAATTTATTTATGTAATTTGAAAAAACATATTTCAGTCTTCAACCCAAATGTTATGGATAAAATGAATCTTAGTAAATTTTTTGTCTGTGTAATTTTAAATTAGTAAAATAAAATTCACTTATTACTAGTTAAAATTTTCGCATAAAAACTATCTATAATAATTTTTTTTTGGTAAAAATATTATATTAAATTAAATTTTTATTGCATAAGCATTTCAATTTATCATTATTAGTTATGCTGTTGATTGTTTTAAGAGATTAAAATAAAATTTTTAAAATTATAAAAATAAAATAATCTATTTTAAATTTGAGAAATAAAAAATAAGTTATTTTATTTGAATCAAGACAGAATTACTATGAATTATAAGACCATCATAAAAAATGAAACCCTTTTTTAATTATTTAATACAACTATATATCCAAAGTTTAAATTCAATTACACTTATTAATCTACAAAAGTTTTGTACCAATAGTTGATCGATATCTTTGTAGATAATAAATGATGAATGTATAGCTAGAGAGATAGAGATAATTTATGCATGTCCCTATACTTCAACATATTAATTCATGCTCAAAGTCAATTCAACTATATCAAGCCACTTGCATATCATCCATCACTTTATGGACCACTAATTGAGCTTTAAAATATTGTTTCCATACAGTTGCCGAAAGCACCATTATCCAAGAAATGGCAGAAGCTCAAAGTCGTAGAGGGTATGTTCCAGTGCTTGTGGGTGAAAGGGAAGAAGATATGAAGAAAATTTGGGTAACCATCGAAGCAATTCAGCATCTCACCATTGTTGAGTTATTGGAGCAGTCTGCAAAAGAGTATGGATACCAAAATGGCTTGCTCAAAATCACATACGATGCTAACAAATTCAAAGCCATAATTCACAACATATCCAAGAAATAGCCATTTTCTCTCTCTCACACATGCATGCATGAAATATATGAGGTGAAAGATAAGAGCAAATTTGAGGATTTTATTTTGGCTCTTCATTTAGAATGATGGGTCAATATTAGATTTTAGATAAAGTTGTTTTCACCATTTGTAACTGTATTGATATATATTAGCTCCTTTTCTATGTCTTAAGCTATCACTGATTACTTATGCCCATATGTATAATGTTTTCATTCAAAGATGTAGTGTTTCAGATTTAATACAGTTACTCACCATGGTTTTGACTCAATTAATTGCTAGATTTTATAATTATCAACTGGTGTTGGCTTTGGATTTGGGTCGTTTACCTAGCAGTTTCCATTAGTCATATACTTAATGGGATGCATGTATCTTTTCCTTGTGTGGAGATAGTTGATTACATTTACATCATTAGTTGAAAAACAAACAATTTGATAACAATAAAGAGAGAAGAAAAAAAGGGAAAACAGT